TACATAGGTAGAGCAGTACATCAGTGATGATCAGAGAACAGCCCTATAAAGAATTAAGTAACAAGAAATGAGGGAAGATTTTATGACAAACAGATATATGCCATACTCTTGAGCAGGAAGTTAACACCTGCGAATAAAAATATTCCTTTCATAATGAACTGTCCAAATGAGATCTTACAGTCAGGTAACTACCAACATCTATGATCCTGAAACTTCTAGGTCTCTGCACTGTTTTTCAAGCAAACTTCAACAGAGCCCTATACTCACTGTCCCAACAGAAATGAATAAAGCTAAAAAGTACAAAATAACTATGATTATTCCTCCATTCAGAATCAGAAAGTTCAGAGCTGGGAGCAGTGGGAACAGGGTGAATAAATTCAGTGGCTGGGGAGAAGTTTTTGAGTCTGAGTCCTTTTGGAGCATCACAAAGGAACACAAAGGTTAGGGGAATATTCACCTGTAGCTTAGAATGCTCCCCCTGCCCCCACTTTGTTTCAATAGCTTAAGGAGTTCTCCCCAAAAGAAATGTGCAACTTTGGCTTCTTAAAGGGGAAAATAAACACACACACACATACACACACTTTTTGGGTGAGACAACTCACCTCTAATCTCCTTTAAAGTGAAAACTTTCTCACTTCCCCAAAGAAGTGTAATATCCTAAAAAGAATGGGCTGGAGATATAGCTCAGTAGCTCAGTTGTTCTTGCCTAGGATAGACTAGGCCCTGGGTTCAATCTCTAGCATAAAACACTCATATTCATTCATTCATTCATTCTCTCTCTTTCTCTCTCTCTACACACACACACATGGTTTACAGAAAGTCTCTGAAATGTCCCAGGGAGCCCACTGGCTTCTCACCAATAATTTAACAGAAACGTATGCGCTATCTGGACTCCTTGTATGAAAAAAGGCAATGGACTAAGTAAAATTTAGAAAGGATTCATTCCATGAACTGTAGAAATGCACAGCTTCTTCCCTTTCTTTCTTCTGGGCTCCTTCCCCCCTTATAAAGCAAAAAACAAAGCTGGGCATGATGATGCACACCTATAATCCCAGCATGCCTGTAATGCAGTCACTCAAAGGCTGAGGCAGGAAGATCACAGGTTCAGGGCCTGCCTTAGCGATTTAATGAGGCCCTAAGCAATTTATCAAGACCCTGCCTCAAAATAAAAAGAGCTGGGGAACCCTGCTTCAATCCCTGATAACTCCCCCAGCCCCACCAAAAAAAAAAAAAAAAGGAAAGAGGGAAACCAGCAAAAGACTTTACCTGTCCTCACTCAAGGTTTATTTAATGCACAAATTTCTCTGTTGGCCTAAATATCCAGCTAAAGATAAATTGGCAATCAAGACCAAGTCAGAAGCCTATAACAAGCAACACACATAAAACAAGTTAACTTATTTAAACATTAACCTGCAGTCTAAGGGATTTTTTTTTTCTTTTAATTTAAAGCAAACAAAAAAAAAAATGACAGGCCAAGTAGATACTCTAAAAATACATCTGTACTAATGGCCTATGTTCTGGTCAAATGCAATTAAGCACAGACCTCACTTGTCTAAAATTGTTTAATTGCTTGTGAAATACATCAGGTGCCTACAAAATCTGTTCAGAATTTTTTCATCTTGCTCAGCAAAAACTAGAACACATTAAAATGATAAATTAAAAAATTAAAATTGTAAACAGAACTGCCACTTGATTAAAATTAAAACTACTTCAGCAAGAATTCAGGAGAATGAACGGAAATGTGATTAGCACTATAATCAAGACAATAGGTTTTGGGTTTGCACTTTTCTCACTTTACTAAGGTGGTAGATGAAAGGTGCTTTATCTCGTTTCAGAGATTCCCTAAACAAACTGCAGTATCAGATGAGAGTTACAATATGTAATGGAATTATGACCAATATTTTCCATCTTAATATTAGGTGTCTACCTCAGTAGCAAAGATCAGGAATGAAAGGGACACAAGGCAAAACATGCAACAGGATAGATAACTGCACTGAACATAAAAATCACAGAGGCAGTTAACAATGAGCTCTTATCATCTGCCAGACACTGTCCTAATTGTTTGACACGTGCTAATTCATTTATTCCTCTCCATATTCCTCCAGGCCAGTACTACTTTAGAGACAAGGAAACTGAGGTACAGAGGTAAATTAACTTTCCAATGTTACCACAACCAGTGTGGGATACAGCCTGCAGACCATCCAACTGCCTATACTGACATCCATCTGTATACAAAACATATCAAGTAATGTCAGTGGAACTCAATAGGCAAAACAGATTTTTACTCTGCCAAAGCTGTTGACCCAGAAGCAAAAAGAATGAGGTACTATTGCCTAGACTGCTTGCTACAGGGAAGAATGCAAAACGAAATCATCTAACCCACTGAAAATATTGCATAGATTTGTTTCATAGGAAAGCACCTTTTCCCTCTGAAGTAGAATAGAAGAAATTAAAATGGGTAGAAAGAAGACATAAAGGAAAGACAAGAAAATATAATTTTAATTTGAGTTTCCACATAGCAAGCCAGTCTCTTTGCCAGGGCTGTCACTCCAAAATTTTAGGGGAAATCTGTAAATCTTAAAGTTGACCATAAATTCATTCCCTCATTATCACTTTAAGCACTGTTAAATAATGGATTTAATAGATTAAGCAAAGAGAAATACAAATATTTTGAGGAACCTATAATTTAGGGAACTTCCTAGTATTACCTATTGCTCAAATAACAGAGACCAAGTCAGCTAAGGATCCTGAGAATGATCAGACCACCATAAATTGTCTTTCAATAATGAGAATGATGGCAACCTTACATACCTTTTCTTATCATACCTTACATCCTTCATTTAAAACAAGAGCCAGAAACCCCTAAACCACTGTCTCTCACTCTCAAGATGGTCTGCATTCTCCCTTGAACAGTGTACTGTTTGCTTTCTTAAATAGATCTCTGTGCCTCTACTGACTCCTACTGGAATTTTTTTCTTTCATGTATGCCAAGGGCTCTATTTGTCCTGAGTTGAGCTCCCCTGCCCCTTCTCCCTCTGAACTCCAGGAGACTCTCTTCTGGTGATTTCTTCTCCTGACACCTCATAGGACTAGAGTCGTCACCTAAAATAACTAGGGTCTCTTAAACTGTTACATTAAGGATGGAACTATTTCTTATGATGGTCCACTATTTAGGCTTTTGGTTTTTATTACCGTTTGGAATAACAGTTTTATTATTTTTCCAACCTAGTAGGTAAATAGCGTTCTTTTTTTCAAGTTTCAAAAGGCACTTCCTGGTCCAGCTAATGAAGGATTAAATTATCAAATCTATGTATCTCCTTAATGTCAGTCACTTCTCCTTTCTCTTTTTTTAGGTGAAAGTTCCAACATTATGCCTATAATTTGAGGTGCTGCTTCTGTCTCTTCATGAAATACAACATGCCCCCCACCTAAACTGGGAATTAAACCCTGGGGCACTCTAAGAATGAGTTACATCCCCAACCCTTATATATTTGTTCATTTGTTTATTTTGAAACAGGTTCCCAGAGAGTTGCTGAGGTTGGCCTCAAACTTATGATCCTCCTACCTCATTTTCCCTAGTCACTGCGATTACAGGCATCTGCCTCACTGAACTTTTTCTGTAATATGTGTAAAACTTTTAGGTTGAAGGGACTTGTTCCTCTCATGCCACACATAATGGAGTTTATGAGGACACCAAAACCTAGCAGCCAGGGTATCTGTACAATGAAAAGAACAACATATGTCCAAAACCATGATCTCATAAGAAATGGGAGACAGTAAAAATCAGAAAGATAAAACACTACAGAAATACAGATTTTAGGGGGAAATGCAATCAAATTAACATATTGCAAAAAAATTGCAGGAAGGGGAAATAAAGACACATAATAATAGTAAAAAAAATGTTAAGTAACATGGAAGTATGAATTGGAAAAAAGACAAATAAATAAATAAAAATTAATCTCTTTCGTGACTATAGTTAGTGCAGTTTAGGAACACTCCAAAGGAAAAATTAGGTGACAATAACCGCTCCTCCATTCCCCAACAATTTAAGGGCAAAGGACTTAAATTAATGATAAGCTGCTAGGATGTGCAAATCAGAATTCTCTGACATGAGTGGGAACATAACTGGTTGTGGAAAACAAAAAACAAACAAACCAAACAAAAAACCCTAAAAACTAAAAGCACTGTATCCATATAATCAACTGCACCTCTGAACCTGAATCATAGAGCTGGAACAGAGTCCTGCAAAAAAAAACAAACAAACAAACAAACAAACAAAAACAGAAGTCTCCTCTCTACTTCTTCAGTCCCCTCCACGGTTTTATCTCCAGCTCCCACTGTCCTTAGCGTCGGAAGAGAGCCCAAATTTCTCTGCACTGAGGGCACTAGGTCAAAGTTGCCTCCAGAAGCCTTAGGCGGAATTCCAGGCCCCCACGAATTCGGATTAGGAGACTGTAATTTACAAAGTGTTAGAAAAGTGGTGGCTATTGTTATTCTTTGTAACCAGGCAGACGAAGGAAACAGGGGGAAGAGCGGGGAGTCCGTGTAGGGAAGAATATTGCTGACAAAGACTGCATTATTATTAAAAGTTGGTAAGTAAAGTTAAAACTGATAGCAGTGCATGTCTCTGAAAGTAAATTTCTGTTGGCGCGAGGCAGCGAGCAAACAAGTTATGCTGAACCTTGGTGCCCTTGTAACTTTACGCACGGCCCCGTTCCAAACTGCCTTCACCAACACTCTCCACCGAGCCTTCATGGGGCCTTGCGGAAGGCTGGAATTTCAGATAGGAAGGAACTGGGGACCGGGCCAAGAACACTGAATTCGGGGAGACACAGATTGGCTGTTCCTTCACGGGCCCAGACGTAACGTAGTTCAACTACACCCGGAGGGGCGGGTGAAAACTCCCCGCGACTCCGGCCGAAGGGCCACCACCTGCGGGCGCTTTCGTCTCGGAGTGGGCGGCGGAGCGAGCGTGGTTCGCTGCCCGTGGGGCCGCTCACCTGGGCTATGCCGGCGCCCATCAGCCCGCCGCCGATGACCGTCACGTGCTTGACGATAATTTTCTTCGCCGAGGCCGAAGCGCTGGTCGAAGAAGACAGGGAGCGCACGAACTGCCTGGTGACGAAAGCCATGGTGCAGGGACGACTACAGCGACGGCGAAAGAAGACGAAGGGTAAAGCAAGAACAGCTCGGCCAAGGCGGCGAGCGGACCTCTGGGGGCGGGCACCCTGCGGCCCCGCCGCCTGCGCGCCGTGGCGCCACCATGACGTCAACGGAGGCGTGGACTCGCGCCTGCTCTGCCCATTGGCCTAGACGTCAGGCGCCCGCATTTGAACGTCTGGACTCTCCACTGGGGTTCGCTTTCAGGGGCGCTCGGCCCCGCCTGGCTCCCAAACCCAAGGCAGCATACTTGGCCAACCCTCGAATCAAATGTCTGGCGACCTGTGGGTTCCAAAGCAAAGATCAGGCCCGGGGAAGGAAAGGAGAGTTGACCTTTAGTTATCTTTTTCAAAGTTAGTTAATCAATGCAGTGAGCTTGTGGTCAAAGAGCAACCTCTGGAGAGGAACTGATAAGATTAGAAAGCAAAGGAAGAGTATCTTTCTCAGCAGTGGAAGACTTGATACACTCTAGGCAAATCTTATCTTGCGAATACTTTGTAATTATTGTGCTTTAGTCATACAGAATTTCTATAAGTTTACTTACTTTTTAATGTATAAAAGAACCCACAGATTCACCATCCAAATAAAAGTCATCCCAAATGAAAGTAAATATAGTGAATCCTTTGTACCATTGCTTTGATCTGATCTTTATATTTAATTCTGCAAAAACATGGGGGAAGCATGTTTTGAGCACCTTGTTAGGCTTCGGAGGTCACTACTGGCTGAAGAGACAGTATTACATTCAAGTAGAATCCTTTAAGTGTTACACCATAGCAAAATGCAAAAACCTCTGGAACTAGAAATGGGAAAGGAATAGCACACAAAGAAACCTAATGACAGGAATAATTTGGAAATTTTATAAAGAGAAGATAATTCTAGGCAGGAGAAGCAGTAAATGCAAAGGCAGGCTCATACTGCAACAACAAAAGTGGATGAGGAATTAAGTGTGGTTAGAGGGGAAGCTATGATGGTAGACTGGGAGGATGAGTGTTTAAGTGGATTTTAACTATTAATCCTCATTTACAAGTTTATCTAATGAAAGGCAAAATACAACCTAAGTACAGTGTTGTCATAATGTTTTTTAGGATGAAATTTGCGTGTAATGTACAACATGATGCCCAAATACGGTACGTTTCAGATGTATAATTTCTTTTCCTCAGGAAAAAAAGAATAACACTTGTCTTGATCCATTCAGGCTGCTATAACAAAATACCATAAGTCAAAGGTCTTACAAATTGAGTCTCTTTTATTGCTAAACAATAAAAAACTTCTTTCTCACAGTTCTAGAGGCTGGGAAGTCCAAAGTCAAAGGCACCTGTTGATCCTATGTCTGGTGAGGGCCTGCTTCCTGACTAATAGGTGGTTCCTCCTTGGTATAACCTCACAAGGTAGAAGCTGCAAGTTAGCTTCCTTGGGAATTCATCCCATTCATGAGGGCCTGCCCTCATGACCTCATTATCTCTGAAAGGCCCACCTCCAAATACTCTCTTATTAGTTTTCAAAGTATAAATTTGGTGGGAACACTAATATTCAGCCTGTATCACTACTACGGTATTTTTAGTGTTTCACAAATATGAGGTCCTCTATGGTATGTGAAGGTGTGAAGTAAAGAAAGGAGAGCTGTAGTGAAAATTCAGAAGTCTTGGAGCAGTCATCAGTGAGCTGTATAACCTTCTTCAACCACTTGCCCTTTCTTGGCTTTAATGTCCTTGCCTGTCAAAGAAAATGGTTGAGAAAATAACCTTTCAGATAATTTATACTGAGAGTTTTAGACAATTTACAGTCTTCTGAAGCAAAAGGGCCACCCCTGCTCCTCTTCCTGCCCAGTCCTGGTCAGATGACAGTTACAATAGAATCATTCTTCCTTTGCTAGGATAGCAAGTTGTTTTCCAAGTGTAGCCTTGGACATTTGGAAGCTGGTAAGAATTTCTGTAGTTCCTGACTTGCACCTTCAGCTTGTTCTTGGAGTTGTATTTCATCTCTCTGCAGAAAGAGTGAAGTACTAGGAATCGTAACCCTAGTCACTGATTCAACTCAGAGAAAACAAGCAATAAAGAACAGAGTAAGAGAACTGGGGTTGTGGCTCAGAGGTAGAGCACTCATCTAGCATGCGTGAGGCACTGGGTTTGAACCTCAGCACCACATAAAAATGAAATAAAGGTATGTGTCCACCTACAGCTAAAAAAATAAATCTTTAAAAAGCAGAGTAAGAAATGACATTTTTATTTTCATTCCATAATTCAAAAATTGTAATACTTAAAAATAGACAACAAAGAAGCATTATTTAACAACACACATGGTAGTGGGCTCTGAGTGGATTCTTTACCTCCAACAAAGCATTGTGGAGAGCTGAGCTAACACTCCATCACTGGCAGGTGACAGGCACATAGATTGAGGGACAGGATTTGTTAACAACCAGGAACATTAATGGAGGTGAGAATCATTAAGCAAGTTGTAATTGTCTTATTTATGGAAACTATTGATTGATTTCTGACTTTTTGAGAAATAGCGAAAAATTAATGTTGACTCTCTGGTTGAACAATTTCTAGATTTCTTATGGCAGAAAACTGTGACTGCTCAGGGTGGTTCAACAGAAAAGTCCAGAACACCCAAGTAAAAGCTTACCTACTTCAAAATCAATGGTGATTAACATTGTTCCTGAGGTTCTAAGGAGGCAACTGTTTGATTAAGGCATATCACTAGTTTGAAAAGGGCACAGTTGTGGATTCATAAACCCTACTGAAACATACTCTCATAATGATTTACAAAATACACAAGGCAGACTCTCTTCATAATTATTAAAATTATTTTATGAATAATTGTATCATCTTGAGCTTTTAGGAAAAATATTGTCACAGCAACGGCAGACTTTAAACATGTACCTTAGATTTTCTTATCATGCCAGCAGTTGTCCCAATGCCAGCTGCTCTCCACCTCCATTTTCTACTTGAAAAATCTTTCTCAGGGGCTGGGGATGTGGCTCAAGTGGTAGTGCGCTCGCCTGGCATGCGTGAGGCCTGGGTTTGATCCTTAGCACCACATACACACAAAGATGTTGTGTCTGCCGAAAACTAAAAAATAAATGTTAAAAAAATTCTCTTTCTCTCTCTCTCTCTCTCTCTCTCTCTCTCTCTCTCTCTCTCTTTCTCTCTCTCTCAATAAAAATATTTCTCAGTTTCAAAGAATGATAGCATTCCCAATGCACAAGTTAAAATTAAAGTCTAGAAAGTCTGACACATAGGTGTCTTGGGATCTAGGTGGTAAAAACACTCATTTGTGTTAAATACTGCCTTTGGAACAAATGAAAGTAATGTGTTAAGTACAGTGGGTGCAAGTCTGAGTCTGAATTTTAATCATACAGCATTTTCCAATCTGGGCATGAAGTTGCTTGGGCTTTCTTGCTGAGGAGATGAAATGATTGTTCACATTTTCAAGCACACAGAGGGAAGCAGGTACAATTTCACCATAAGCATTAATCGCTGTGGGATTTATTGAGTGTAGAGTCACAAGATTCTCCTATTTTATATGAAGGGAAAGTCTTCTGAATTATTGAGAATGGACAATTATTCTAACCTCACCCAGCAATTTTCCAAATGTTTGCTTGAGATTATAAGACTCCCACTAAAGAGGGCACAATGTAAATTCATTATCACCCAAAGGGAAAATGGTGTATCAGCAGGATACACCATTTTACATAAATCATACCTTTCAAACAAATCACACCTTTTGGGTTATTTTCTTAGGATTTCCACATATAAAATTTCATACTTTTAAAGCTAACCATGTATTAGCCTTACCAACAACTATAACTAATAATAGTGGTCATCCTTTTGAGAAATTTTTATATACTACTTGCTAATTACGTTAAATGGTTTTGCATGAAGTAGCAGCCAACATATATCGAGCCCTTTCCCATGATCCCCCTTGTTCTAGGTGCTTCTTGTGAATCAATTTATTAAATCCTCACAATAATCCTACATGATTTGTACCAAGGGCCCACAGTTCTTTAACACATAAGGAAACAGGCCAAGAGAGATTCAGACACTTAGCCAAGGTTACACAGCTAATTAATGGCACTGACAGAATTCAAACCCAGGATGGTCTGTTTTCAGGGCTCATGTTCTTGACCACTATGCTCTTTGCCTCTTCATATCAACCCTAAGGCTCTCCTTGTCATGTTATCCTTGCCTAAAGCTTAAAAATGAAGRCCAGGTTTTGAGTAGTAAAGTCTCTTATGAATTGTTACTCACCTAATCACTGACCAGGCTTGGGTTTGAACCTCCTCTGACCTCAAAGCAACTCAGGAGGCTGAGATAGGAGAATCACAATTCCAGGAGAGCCTCAGCTACTTAATGAGGCCCAAAGCAACTGAGCAAGACCCTGTTTAAAAATAAAGACATAAAAAGGGCTGGGGATGAGGCTCAGTGGTAAAGCATCCCTGGGTTAAATCATCAGTGCCAAAAATAAATAAATAAATAAATAAATAAGCAGATGGATTTAGTTGGACATCTTTACTAATAAACCCCAGAGCTGCAAGTTCCTGGCAGTTCTTCCTGATGTTTCTGCCTGATGACTCTGTAGGAATCATGTGTTCTATAGCATCCTGTTTTCCAGCTTATAGACTCAGATTTCTCAAACACAAACATTCACTTATCATTTTCTACTGGTTATCTCTCCTTGGAAATCCCTTCCATCCTTCAAATGTAACCCTATCAAAATTTATGGCTATTATTTCCCATTCCCCAAAATGCCTTCCCAAGATGATCCCAACCAAGAGTGTTCTTCCCCCTTACCACTACATTCCCATCCAATTGGCCATAAAATGCCATCAATTCCACCTTAGAAATGGCTTACTGCTGGCTTCAGTGCTACACACCTGTAATCCCAGGGGTTCTGGAAGCTGAGGCAGAAACATCACAAGTTCAAAGCCAGCCTCAGCAATTTGGCAAGATCCTAAGTAACTCAGGAAGACCCTGTCTCTAAAAAAAAAAAAAAAAAAAATGAAAAAGGGGATAGTGCAGCTAGATTGTATTTAATAAAACTTCCCAAAACAATACAGTTTTATTAACTTTAGATCTGTTATCCATTAGATCTCTAAACT